AAAACCAAATACAAAGCCATATTGTAACTGTGTGTGCGTGTGAATGGCTTTTTGTATTTGTTTTACAAGCTTACGCAAATGTTCATTACCAGCAGAGTAATGTTTACATACATGAGAGGAAATAAAGTGTGTGTGTCGCCCTGTGTACAGTGCAGTGATGAAAGAACTCAGATCTTTTCTAAAAGTAAAAGTACCACAGTTTTTTTAAAAGTAAAAACATACCTTTATAGTGTTGAATAAAAGTACAAAATAATCAGCATAAAAATACACTTAAAGGTCCGAAGGTAAAAGTACTCGTTATACAAAACAAATATTGTCAGACTGTTTTATGATGTTGGATTACAGTTATCAATGCATTTATGCTACCGCTGTAAAGGTGGAACTAATTTGATGTATAACTTCATACAAGTAATCAATAATTATACATCAGAATTTGCTGTTGATCACATTTATTATTCATAATCTGAGTGAGCAAAGTAACTAAGCTTTAAAACCAATGCAGTAGCCTTCAGTAAAAACTACAATATCCCTCTGAAAGGTGGAGTAGAAGTATGAAGCTGCATAAAATTGAAACACTCATGTAAAGTACAAGTAGCCTAAAATTATACGTAACTTGTCGTTGTATTTTCCACTAATGTGTGCTTCGTGTTACATTAACAGCTAACAGGAGAACACCCAGTAAAGTAAGTTAGATGAGGCCACTGCATGAGGAAATTATTGTGGGTGTATTGTTTGTACTTAAAAGAGGAAGTAGGAGTTTCCAGCTTCCCTTTGTTTTCCTCACCTGGTTGGTCCCGTCGCCTCAACTCAGATAGACAGAAGCATAAAGGACTTTCCCCAGTCACATGCTGTTTTATATAAGACACATTGACAAAGACAACTTTGCTCAAGGCTGCTGTGAGTGTGTGTTGTTTGGTTCAGGTTTCAGTAACAGGGCATGTCAGGTGGATGGCATTAACTTGCACTTGATGGCTACTTACATGATATCATACTATCAGACTGAGGCTACAGCTATGATCTGATTGCCAGAAAAAAAGTTGGCATTGTTTCTGCAAAGCATGGTTACATTACAATTGCATGTTTTTATGTAGCGGAAGATTAAAACAACGAGACCGCTGTGGTTAACGTGGTTATGTTTAGGCTCAAAACCACTTGGTTATGGTTGGTAAAAGATCATGTTTAAGCTTAAAATACTTGTTTTGGGGATACGATCTCTGCTGGACAAGCAGCACAACTGCTTTTAGTGACACTATTCCCTGCTTGAAAAACAGCCACAAACCAAAAGAAAAAGGGCTAAAAAGTTGCAGGGAACACAGAAACAGGTCTCTTAACAACATCCGAGTTTGACGGCAAAAAAATCAGTTTGAAATACAGCCACAAGTTGCTAAAAAACACCCATGTTTTTAGGATAAAAAGCCACTGGAAAAACAGTCATGGGTCACTGAAAAAACACCTATGTTTGGGGGATAAAAATCTGATGAAAAAAAGCTATGGGTCACTAAAAACATCCACGATTGGGGGCTAAAGAGCTGTTAGAAAAACAGCTATGATTCACTACAAAACATCCATATCTGGGGGCTAAAAATCTCCTGGAAAAACAGCCATGGGTCGTTAAAAACATCAATGTTTGGAAGATTTAAAGCTGCTGGAAAAACAACCAACCGGTCCCTAAAAATATCAATGTTTGGGGGCTAAAAAGCCAAAGGAAACACAGCCACATGATGTAAGGGCTGGAAAAACAGCCATGGATTGCTAAAAAACACACATAGTTGGTGGCTAAAAAGCTGCTGGAAAGAAAACCAACAAGTCCCTAAAAATCATCCATGTTTGAGGGCTGAAGAGCTGCTAGAAAAACAGCTACAAATCACTAAAACACACCGATGTTTGGTAGCTAAAAAGCCTCTTTAAAAAACAGCTACAAGTTGCTAAAAAATACATATTTGGAGGCTAAAAATCCGCTGGAAAAACAACCAACTGATCCCTAAAATCATCAATGTTTGAGGGCTAAAAAGCTGCAGGAAACTCAGCAATGACTCGCTAAAAAACAACTGGTTTTGCTGTTGGTCTTGAACAGTGGTCTGCAGCTTGGCCGGTGCCTTACCATCCACCATCCCCTCCACCTCCTGATGACAAAGTCAGCTCAGATACTACGTCACCTCAGAAACATTGCTTTGATATGTATAAAATGTACAAATGTGATGTATTCGTGGTTTGCAGAGACACACAATTCCAACATTTTCCTCTGAACTGAGCTAAAAGTTAACATGTCTCATGCAGGAAAGTCCACACCATTTGACAAGTTGCTTTCCAAATCAACCTGTCATTACTCAGTTTTTTTTATGTTTATGTCACCACTTCTCCTTCCAACAAGAAGTCAGAGGGAGGCGGCAAGAGGTGGCAGCTTGACTCATTTTCACGCTGCAGTCTGATCAGATTAGCAGCTGCCTAAACAAGATAATGCAGGTAAATTCCCTGTTCAGACGCAGATGGAGGGGAACCAGGAAACTGTGTGTGTGTGTGTGTGTGTGTGTGTGTGTGTGTAATGCTTGGATTGCGTAATATTCCCAGGGTTGGCGGGTAAAATCCCTGATCAGGTGTGAATAAACAGTCAGGTGAGTGCGTAATACAGGTGATATGTGTGTCGTTTCACACAATGGAAAACAAAACCAAAAGGGGTTGCAGACAAAATTGTTACAAACTGGTGATAACATTTTCTTTTTTGTAACATCGTGACAGATTAATAGTGAAGAAAATAAAAGTACATTCTCCATATTCTCATTCTACACAGGGTCAGTAAGTACAGATTTATTCATACCACGTTTCTTAAGAAAATCTCCAAAGTGTGTCACATTAAAAGTATTAAATATCAAACAAGCAGGACAGTATTTACATAGATATAGTTTTGTTTCTCTGGCATTGTTGAGCTACATCATGGTTTATTTCACATTGTCTTGTGCTGTTTTGTGTTTTTTAGGGGTCAGATTATTGTATAACGCACTGCCCAAGAAAGCAGTGACCACCACGTGAAAGGGGAAAAACAAATAATCTAAGAATGCCATAAAGTGAAGTACCGCTAAAGCCTGACAGGGACAGACCTAAAGGCAAAGTCCAAGAGAAAGTGTGTGGGTTAATGGCATGCACACACTCATATCTCAAATGACATTTCAAAAGGTCCTGTGATAGCAGAGAGATGAGAACGAGAAATGAAATCCAGCGACATCACCCTGTGACTATGAGGAAGCCCCACAGGCCACCGGCCAAAAACCACAAAGTGGCATTTAAAAGTAAGTGCTCATATTTCGATTGAGAGTCATCCTGAGTGTGCTGGAACGGGAAGTGAGAAGCGTTTGGCTAGGAGAGGAATTCACTTATCAAACTTTGCATGTTTAGAGAATGAAATGAGTGAGAGAGTTTTAAGAAGAAGGCAGCGGACACACGGTGACCACTGTGAGTAACAGGACATGAATCGTGTGGGTTGGGGTCATTAGAATAAATATGTATGACTCAATGACCAATAAGGGACAGTTTTATCAGGTCGCTTCATCACAGAGGGATTTTAAATGTGGCGATGTGTGATCTGAGAGCTCAGAGAGAAACTTTAACATTTAACATGATTATTATCAAACTGTATCAAACATTAACAACACTATGAGTGTGCGGCCATGCCGTCAGCGCTGTGAGGCTGTAGAGTATTTCAGCACAGCGGTGCTTTGAGCTGCACAGGTTTTCATCTCAACATGGGTTAGGACACAGAGGCTACTAAGCAGGGGGTCCAACACATTCTCATCCCAAGTCGTCACATATTGCCGCTTTGCCAGTGGTTTTTCACGCCTACATATCACACGCGAGGCACATCTCCTGCGTCTGCTGTTGACTTTTCAGGACACTGTTGCAAACGCTACACTTCTGTTTACACAGGAAATGTAAAGTTTCTGATTGTTAGATGCACACAGTCTTTTTCGAAATAAACTTACAATGTAGGTAAAACACCTCGTATTTACGTTAGGTTTAGAAAAAACATTGTGGTTTGGCTCTACATTTATACAGGAAGTGAACACCAGGCTCTCAGGTGAAAGTCCAAGTTTCATTAGACCCATCCACTGCCCCTCCCACCTGCCCTATGGGGACTTTCTAGCTCCTTGTATCACACCATTACTGCCAGTGTTTCAGCCTGATGACGTCTTGTGTCGTATCACAACACTGCGAAAGGTTATGCCTGGCCTTGTTGCTAACTCACACCACCAGATGGCGTCAGTTTGTAACTGAAAGCCGCAAAAGGTGGCTTTTAGCTTCAGGTGTCTGATGACTGTCTAATGACAGTCAACTTAAACTTAAAGGTTAATCGAGGAATGGGCACATAATTTAAGGTAGCCAACAACCTGGCTTTAGGCTATACATCCAAAACACTTGTATAAAAATTACCTGCTAGGTAACCAGACCAGGCCTCTATTTGAGACGGGCCTTTAATAGTCAAAATGTGTATCCACACTGGGCTGATAGAAGGAACTGGGCTTTTAACTGAAATAGCAAGGTGCTATCACATCAGAAGTTTTACTCAAAACCATTGCTAAAGTAGCGGCCTCAAGAATAAGGTGGATACATTATTCCATGTGACCCCTTACCTAAAATGGTCCATGGCATTATGTCCAAGTCATCCCATCCATAAAAAATTCATTCAGCTTTTCATTCATTCATTTTTTATCGTACCTCTTACATAGGTTATTTCTGACTGTTTACTTCCCTGCTGCCACAATATTCCATGTGACTCCTTTCCTTCAATGTTGGACCGTTCCCCATTTTCAGAATATTCCTGGAATTTTGCGAAATTACATTTTAACTTCACTACGTGCAAACTAATTTCAAACTGCCTGCTGCTCAGTACACCACCCTGTGTTACATGTTACAGCATGTAGCAGAGGTGTGACAAAGCTCCACCCGTTACCTGTATCACCTGACACAAACCAGGAAACCGAAAGTTATTCTTCGTCACTGCAGAGAGACACAGACTGAAGAACAGACGATCAGATTCACCTTCAGACCAAACTAACAACTTCCTCTGAGTGAGTTCAGCTAAAACTCCAACACTGCTGCTTCAATCTGCTGACACTCCACACACTGAAGGTGAGTTTGACTAAAAACACCACTCAAAGTCAAAGTACATTTCAGTCAAGTTAGTAGAGGAGGGAGGGGAGCCATGACTGACTGTACTTTCTGTCTGCTGTGTTTTCAGCTTCACTCAGAGATTAAATGGCTTCCAGATCAGAGGAGGATCTCTGCTGTCCGGTCTGTCAGGACGTCTTTAGAGATCCTGTTATTCTGTCATGTAGCCACAGCTTCTGTAAAGACTGTCTGAAGAGATGGTGGAGACAGAAACAAGAACGTGAGTGTCCAGTTTGTAAGAGAAGATCTTTGTTTGAACCACCTTGTAACCTGGTGTTGAAGAACCTGTGTGAGGCCTTCTTATTGGAGAGAGATCAGAGAGCTTCAGAGGCTCTCTGCAGTCTGCACTCTGAGAAACTCAAACTCTTCTGTCTGGACCATCAGCAGCCAGTTTGTCTCGTCTGCAGAGATTCAGAAAAACACACCAAGCACAGATTCAGACCCATCGATGAAGCTGCACGACAACACAAGAAGGAAGTTGAGGAAACTCTGGAGCCCTTAAAGGAGAAGTTAAAGGTTTGTGAACAAGTTAAAGTGAAGTGTGAACAAACAGCACAACACATGAAGGTCCAGGCCCGACGCACAGAGAGGCAGATTAAGGAGCAGTTTAAGAAGCTTCACCAGTTTCTAGAAGAGGAAGAGGAGGCCAGGATGGCTGCACTGAGGGAGGAAGAGGAGCAGAAGAGTCAGATGATGAAGGAGAAGATGGAGGCTCTGAGCAGAGAGATAGCAGCTCTTTCAGACACAGTCAGAGCCACAGAGGACGAGCTGAGAGCTGAAGACGTCTCATTCCTGCTCAACTACAAGGCTGCAGTGGACAGAGTCCAGCAGCGCCCCCTGCTGGATGATCCACAGCTGCTCTCAGGAGCTCTGATAGACGAGGCCAAACACCTGGGCAACCTGACCTTCAACATCTGGAACAAGATGAAGGACATGGTCTCCTACACTCCTCTGATTCTGGACCCAAACACTGCTCATCCAAACCTCATCCTGTCTGAAGATCTGACCAGTGTGAGACCAGGACAGAGACAGCAGCTTCCTGATAATCCAGAGAGGATTGATGACTTTCCCTGTGTCCTGGGCTCTGAGGGCTTTAACTCAGGGACTCACAGCTGGGATGTCGAGGTTGGAGACAGTACAGCCTGGTTACTGGGTGTGTTAGCAGAGTCTGTCCAGAGGAAAGAACGCATTAAGTCTGGATTATGGAGAATATGGTTCCTTCAAGGTAAATACTCAGCACTGTCACTACCAGCTCCACCCACTGATCTCAAAGTGAAGAAGAAGCTCCAGAGGATCAGAGTGAATCTGGACTGGAACAGAGGAAAGCTGTCGTTCTCTGATCCTGATATTAACACACACATACACACCTTCACACACACTTTCACTGAGAGGATGTTTCCATTCATTAGCTCTGTTGATGAACTGAAGATATTACCACTGAAGGTTTGTGTGACAGTGGGACAGAGCAGTTAGAGATAAAGAGGATGATTATATTTATGATGTTTATTTCTTAAAGAGAAAAGTCACTCTCCTCTTAAACTGGGAATAAAAAATAACAGCACAGTGTCAAAGTGACGTATTAGCTGGAGACACAGGCTGAGACAGAGAGGCTGACGACTTTAACATGAAAACATCTTTTTAATTGAAGTGATATTCTTTAATGTTTCCAGACTGAGTCATATCAGACATCTGACAAACTGAAACTTATTGTGACTTTACGTCATACTGTGTAACTCCTGTTAGCAGAGACAGAAATATACTCACTATAATCCATAAGTGATGATGAGAAGTGACGGCATGACTTTAGATTCAAATCTTCATTTTCAGCAGGTAAACTGCGTCTGGAGTCTTTTTTTAATGTCATGTGATTTGAGGAACTTCCTGCAGGACTTTTTTACTGATGCTTTAGCGCCCTCTGCTGATCAAAGTGTGTTCAACTCAACAGGATTAAACTGTTTCATATCAATAACTTCATTAATATTTTTACATTAAATCCACTCCAATCATAGCATCATTGTGGCTACTTATATTTTTAATATAGTGTTATGATTCTACATTATGCTTAATTAAAATTATTTTGTATATACTAATCCATATATAAATGCATATTCCAAATATACTGTAACTACTGTGTAACTTTGATTTGGATTATCAGAAAACAGCACTGTTGGTTTTACATTACATCACATTTATGAACTTTACTGTGTTTAGCTTTATAGTGATGATCTGTTGTAAATATTTGTTTCACGTGGGATTTAAACCTTGTTCTCCTGGGTCAAAGTTTGTGTTGTTTGTCTCTTCCACCACTACCAGCCACCCTGTATGTAGATTTTATCACTCTATATCCTACTATGATCACGGCCTCTGCTTCTTTTCTTTAGTTTGGCAGCACGGCATTTTGCAAATAAGCCTGATATTAGAAGGTGGAATTGTTGTATCTGTGGTCTGATGCAGCAGAGCTGTAACAGGTACAGTGAGGCAGGGATGGGCAGTATTTCCATTACTTGTATTTAAAATACGCATTTCAGTTACATTTGAGTATTTTGTAATTTGTATGTGATAAGGCCGATAAAAAGCAAATGTAATTTGTAACAAAATACTTTTGAGTGGAGTACTTTTGTATTTAAAATACTCAGAATACTTTCTCCACGAATCAAAAAACAAAAATAATAGGTTACACATACACATTCTTATAATATTGGATGTAACAATATTTTTTACTTTTTTTATTTTATTTTTTTTTTTAAATATTTTTATCTATATGTTTTTTTAAACTTGGGCCATTCAGTGTGCCCTTCAATGACCTAGTGGTCTGTTTTACTGGACTGTGCATAACATAGGAAATTGTATGTTGTTGTGGTTGATGCTTGGGATGAGTATGCTGCAAATGAATTGCTTCACGTGGGGTCAATAAAGTTGTCTGAATCTAAATCTGAATCAATAAATAATATTTTAGGGTAGCCTACATGTCCCTAGATTTTTTTTCTCTTTTTCATTTGAAAAAAAAGTTGAACACAGGGCTCCAAAGGCTCAGAGTTAGACAGCAAACAAGTTAATTAATAATAATAATACATTTTATTTATACAGCGCTTTTACAGCTCTCAAAGACGCTTTACATTTAAAACCAAAGAAAAGAAGTACATACATGCAAGTGCAAAGAGATAAACAGAAGACAAGGACAATATAAAACAACAAGGTGCAAAAGCATAGTGCAGCTACTATGCTTAGCTACAGTAGCTACAGTATCTTGCTGCTGTTTAGCTAGACCGTTGGTGGACAGTTCACAGCACAGCTAGACTAGACTTGCCAGGGATGCTGCTCACGTGGATGGACCCACACTGCCAGTAGACTACCTTGCTGCTCATGTCTTCCAAGTTCAACAGATTGTCTGTCAAGGTCAATATTTTATCTGAGTGTGACAGATGTCTACTGGCTTGGTGTATGATTTATGTCTGGGTCTGGCTACATAGCCTATTGTATAAATACATGGTGATGATAGTTATAATATCAAGCTAGCGATGCTTATGCACGCCATTGGATGGATGATGGTTGAATGGTTGAAGAATCATGGTTGTTCTTTCTGGCATAGTTACTCATGGTCTCTAATTGCAGTATGCAAATTTTGAGCATTTTTGGTCAAGGACCTTTTGAGTTATTCAAGAAAAGCTTTGTGGACCGACCGACCAACCAACCAACCAACCAAAAGAGTGACCTATAGAGCTGCGGGTCACCGCTAAAAAGAAAAACAAAAAAAGTATTTTCTGTATTTGAAAATACAAAATACATGTATTTTATTTTGATACATTTTGTGGCACCAGTATTTTGTATTTTATTTTGATACATTTATTTGAGGGGCATTTTGTATTTTGTATCAAAATACATTTTGATGTATTTTTGCCCATCTCTGCAGTGAGGGAGGTTCATTGTTACAGTATTTCTTAAATGTTTCGGCTCATTTCTTTTTAAAGAGTTTTAACATTCTCCAAACAGGAAGTGCAATTGTCACAGCTGTCTCATGGGACATCGCAGCATGTCTGCAGAACCTAACTCACCTAAAACATTAAATTCAAACTTCAACACCTTGTGATTGTGTCAGTAAATTGGCCACAGACACCACAATGCAAAGATGTTTTGTCAGCATGTGAGCCGTACTGGTCAAAATGTTCAGGTATTTTTCAGCATTTCCAGTCAACTCTGGAAATGTGTCTTTGATACAAATCTCTGTTTTGTTCCTCTTTGTTGACACTGGCTGCTGACTGTACTATACAAGACTGTCAGTTTTGTCTCGCTGAATGCTAATGTGTATCACACAGAGAATTTCAGATTCTGATTCCAACAATAGGCTTACTGTACAATACTGTAGTCCACAGTCAAGGGTGTGCACGTTTCTATGTATACAGTACGTTTATTTGTGTCGTAATGTGTTACATGTACTGAAGATCTTTCATGTAAAATATATCCAGTGCTTCCAAGCTTGATCAGACATCACAAACATTCAGTGTCATAGATATTAATGGAGTATATCTGACAGATTCATGTTTAGAGGTTGTGAAGAGTGTGACAGTTTCACTGGGAACGCATTCATCAGTTTTGATCAGCAAGTGGTTACTGTGCAAATTGGAGATGACTGTTCTTACTCGTTTTCTTACAACAAACCAAGCGGTGCCCTCCAGGGCTGAGAAATGAAGCCAACACCAAAGTTCCAAAAACTGCAATTCCTCTAATGTCCACTTGAGGCTGGCTCCAAGAGCGAGTCAGTCCCCACAGACCCCCGTGTTAAAATGCTCAACTTTACAGCAGAAACAAACATGTTTACAGCCTGGTACAAAAAACAGTTTTGCTCTCTGTAGCTAATTTAACTTTTAATGGTGACTGTGAGGGGGATGCATTCTTACTTAACTTTCCCATTTACATTTTTATTGAGGTTTAAAGTTATGCATAAATAAGGGCGGATCGCATTAAATGACTGCCCGTCTGCCAATAGTGTTCTCAGCTTTTCAGTCAGATCCACCCCTCGCTCCTCCACAGCTCCACCCTCACGCCCAGATATGGCCACTTCTGGATCCAAAAAACCAAGATGGCAACAGTCGAAATGCCGAACTCAAGGCTTCAAAACATGAATCCACAAACCAGTGGGTGACGTCTTGGAAGCTGCGTCCATTATTTTTACAGTCCATGCAACAAACTGACTGTCAAGAAGTTTTAATTAAATGTTTAAAAAAAAAAAAGTTCATGAATTGAGCCAAAGCAAATGAGAAAAACTGTGATCAGTTTTATTAGTAATATCATTTTCTGATTGATCAAAACCAAACAATATTCCACGGTATATTCCAAACCCAATCACCAGAAAAATGTTGGTCTTGCACAATTCTGCAAACCACAAATATGTCAGGTTTGTATTTTATTATGGGGCTAATCTATCTAAACTTTACATGTCAACAACACTGTGGTTAACATGGTTAGGTTTAGGTGCAAAACCACTTATTTATGTTCAGAAAAATGTTGTGTGTCATGTTTTAGCCTCAAATCTGGACTTTGGCGACAAAATTAATCCCCACTGGAAAATCAGTGAAGTCTCGGTAAAAAACAACCACTTTTTGTGGCACTAACCAAAAACACCCAGGTTTTGTGGCAGCTAGAAAGCTGCTGGAAACAGCAACGGCTCCCTAATCACAAATGTTTTTGTTGTTTGTTAGTCTCGAACCGTAGTCTGCAGCTTGGCAGACGTCTCATCAAAGTGTCACACCATTTACAGCAACATGTAAAGGTTTTAACACCCCTGGTCAAAATTTCTTTTACTGTGAGTAGTTAAGAAAGTATAAGATGAACTGATCTCCAAAAGGCATTAAGTTAGAGATGAAACATTTCTTCAATATTTTAAGCAAGATTACTTTCAAATTTCAATCTTTTACAGTTTTAAAATAACAAAAAAGAAAAAGGGCCTGAAGCAAAAGTTTGGGCACCCTGCATGGTCAGTGCTCAGTAGTGCCCCCTTTGGCAAGTATCACAGCTTCTAAACACTTTTTGTATCCAGCTCAGAGTGTTTCACTTCTTGTTTGGAGGATTTTCACCCATTTTTCCTGCAGAAGGCTTCTAGCTCTGTGAGATTCTTGGGCCGTCTTCATGCACTGCTCTTTGAGCTCTATCCACAGATGTTAATGATGTTTAGGTCGGGGGACTGTGAGGGGCGTGGCCAAACCTTCAGCTGGCTCCTCTTGAGGTTGTCCATTGTGGATTTGGAGGTGTGTTTAGGATCACTGTCCTGTTGTAGAAGCCATCCTCTCTTCATGTTCAAGTTTTCTACAGATGCTGTGATGTCTGGAATTTAACTGAATCCATTCTTCCCTCTACCTGTGAAATGTTCCCCGTGCCACTGGCTGCAACACAAGCCCAAAGCATCATCCATCCACCCCCGTGTTTAACAGTTGGACAGGTGTCCCTTTTTTCTCCAAACATACCTTTGCTCATTGTGTCCAAAAAGTTCTGTTTTACCTTCATCACTCTACAGGACTTGTTTCCAAAAAGCATCAGGCTTGTTTCGATGTTCCTTTTCAAACTTCTGATGCTGAATGTTGTGGCGAGGACACAGGAAAGGTTTTCTTCTGATGACTCTTCCATGAAGCTCATATTTGTCCAGGTGTGTCTGCACAGTAGAACAGTGCACCACCACTCCAGAGTCTGATAAATCTTCCTGCAGGTCTTTTGCAGTCAAACAGGGGTTTTGATTTGCCTTTCTAACAATCCTACGAGCAGCTCTCTCACAAAGTTTTCAACTTGACCTCCACAGTTCCTGTTAACTGCCATTTCTTAATGACATTACGAACTGAGGAAACAGCTCCTTGAAAACACTTTGCTATCTTCTTATAGTCTCCTGTTTTGTGGGCATCATGTATCACTGGATCACCACTGCCACAGGCAACGGACATCTACACCACCCGCTGCAAGAACAAGGCACTACACATCCTAAAGGACTCCTACCACCCAGCACACAGTCTGTTCTGCTACCTCCCTTCAGGCAAACGTCT